CCGTGACACCAACCCCAGCTGGTGGTAAGTCCGTGGTACCAGGCACATCAGCATCTCCGGACAATTCGGGGGAAGACTTAGGCTCAAGTTCCACCTCTTCCCCTGACTCGAAGAACCCGGGGTCTGTTGATACTCCGGGAAAGTCCCAATTCGCAGACTTGTCGGACGAAAACGAGAAGCTAAAGAAAGACAACCAGATGCTGAGCTCTGAGCTCGCGCAGGCCAAGAAACAGTGCGACGAGCTAGTGGCTTTCTTGAATCAGTATGTGAAGGTTGCACCTGACATGATCAACCGTATCATTAGCCAAGGAACCTCAGGGTCCAGCTATGGGGAGTTGGTCAAGGAGGTAATTGGTGGTGTTAATGATTTAGAAGCACAAGGTAGTGATGATGACGAAAAGGGTGATACTTTGAAACTATTTGGTGTGTTACTGAAAGAGAACAAGAAAAAAAGGGGTCCAGACGAGAATGCTGATATTTCTGGGTCCCGTGGGAAAATGATGAAAACTATGGACTACAATTTGCCTTGGATGAAAATGTCTTCGGCCCCTGGAGAGAGTAACAAGGTCTGTAACTGAAATTGTGATCCAAATATTAAGGGAAGCTAGAGAATGGACTTCTGCAGATTAGCTTCATGCATCCTTTTGTTTTAGTGCCTGTTAGTTTACAAGTTCAGTGATTATGAAATAACGGAGTATTTAGTATGAGTAGTATTGGGGTTAGATTACTACGAGCAGTAACCCCAACATATTAAACAAGAAATATATATACATAGGGGACTATCAAAGTCATATCCCACTGCCTCAAGGTCGGTTGGTTTGTGTAGTCAAAACTCATAATAATGGTTTCTTATTTATGATTTCGTTTTGGTACTTCAAGTTTCTGCAAGTTATCATTCAATTATTTCCATTTTAGCTGACAGATTTTTTCATTTTGATGGAAATACGAATTTTTATTACTTAACTAGTACTATTACAAGGATAGAGAGTCCTATTGAGCTCATTCATAGGTTGTACTACCATATTGTCAACATTAGTAGTGCCAGTTACAAAAGGATTTCCAATTTCTACTAATTTGGAAATTACAGTAGTAGATATGGTCTTACTATAAGTGCTTCCAGTTTTATCCTTTGTGGAGGGCTTGCAAAAGAGAGTTTGGAGGCTATTCCATTAGATAGGGAGTGGAGCTACTCAATTGCTTAAATCCTTGAGTGGCCAAAAATTGCGTTATTTTGTTCCCTTCCCTGAAGCTATGCCGGATTGGCGGATTCTGCAATTTCCTCGGGTCACACTCAATAACCAAGTTAGAGTAAATAGAACAAGTATCATTAATAAGCAAGGAAATTACATCTGTTGCATCGGTCTTAATTTCAATATCAACAAAAATTTTATCACAAGATAGTTGAAGATTAGTCCCAAATTTGAAGGCAGGGGTGTAAGCAGGGGTGTATCACAACAAAAATTTTATCACAAGATATCGACTCATGTAGGCAGGGGTGTAAGCTATGGCAAAATTGAGGTAGCTCAAAATCCAATCCCCACGGCCATTTTTGAATACACCCCCGATGCCTACTTTTCTATATTTTCTTTTGAAGGCTCCATCAATGTTAAATTTTAAGGAGTGGTTTGTTGGAGGGAGCCATTTAATAGTGATGGTGATAGACGGGGGAACATGGTTTGGAGAGTTGGTACAGTAGATAAATTCTTTGCATCGTATTAGAACTACTTCAAGCGAAAGCTGATTACACTTTTTGTTGAAAGAGTTATTATTTCGATTTAACCACAGAGACCGTAAAGCAAAAGGAAAGAACATGTCCTAGGGGATATCCCATTGATCTAAAGTTTTGTGCAGATCTTTTAAAGTATTGAGCCAGTGGTCAAGGTTTTGCTGAAAGTGAGGAAGATTGAGTTGAGCGTCGCTTCAAAATTTGGTAGTTATGGGGCATTCAAATAAAATGTGAATAAGCGTCTCCTCCGCTATTTACATATGGGACAGAGGGTGTCAATGTGCAGTTCGATTTGGTGCAAATACCTTAGTAGGAAGGAAATTGTAGGAGCATTGCCATAGGAAGTATTTAATCTTATGGAGTGTGTTGAGTTTCCAGATCCATTGGAATTTAAAATTGTTGGGAAGTGGTGGTGAGATTAACTTGTATATAGAGCCGGAGGAAAAGATACCATTTGAGGTATGAGCCCAAGTGGGTATGTCCCTAGCATTGGTGAGGGAGTCTAGTTTTATGGAAAGAATTTTGTTTTTGAGTAAAGTATAGTTTTGTGAGATCCCAAGAGTTAATTCCCTAGAGGTCTTTGACTTTGAGTGTTTGGTCATTGTAATTAATTGGACCCTGGATGATTGAGCTTAAAGGTGGGAGCCCCGGAATCCATGCGGAGGCCCAATTGTTAATGTTGCCCGGGCCCACTATCAAGTGTAGGCCTTGACTACAAATTTTCAAGCTTGTTATGATGTTATTCCAGATGAATGAATTGGAGATAGGGTTTCTTTTGTGGCTGTATTTTGAAATAAGAGTGAAGGCCCATAGAGAACTAGGATTGTTGAATAGACGCTAGGAGAGGCTAGTTAGGGATACCATATTTTTATCCACTGCTCTCTTGAGACCCAGACCCCCAGCATGTTTTGGTTGAGTGATAGTGGATCATTTGATATAGTGAATTTTCCTTTTTTGAGTGGTGGTGCCCCAAATAAAATCTCTGGGATGTTGCTGAATCAGAGGAATTATCAGACGGGAGGAGATCTGATAAGGAAGATGATAAAGAGGAGGCAGTTCACTATGAAGAATACGATGAGCGGAAGCATAAATATAATCCAAGTTTGGAACTTGGAATGAAATTTAGTAGCTTAAAGCAGTTTAAAGATGCTTGTAGAACTTATGGTATTAAAAGCAGGTTTTAGCTTAAATTCTCTAAAAACGACCAGGAGAGAGTGATATGTAAATGCAAACATAATGGGTGTCCTTTTAGAGTGTATGCTACTGCCGTGAGTAAGACTGATCCAACTATTCAGATCAAGTCTTGTAATTTGGAGCACATAGGTGGAAATGTGTTTGACAACTTTCATATGAATACTGTGTAGCTTGCTAATAGGTATTTTAGTACATTCAGAGTTGATCCATCATGGAGCGTGAATGGTTTAATTGAAACTGTTAGAAATGACTATAGCTATACAATTAGTTATATGAAAGTTTGGAGGGCCAGAAATATGGCACAAAAATTGGTTTATGGAGATGAGGGAACCCAATATGCAAAGTTGTTATCATATAGAGAGGAATTATTAAAAAGAAATCCAGGCTCTACTGTAATTTTGTGGAGGGACGAAGGCAGATTTCTTGGGTTTTATGTTTGTCTTGGAGCACTTAATAATGCTTTTAAATCTGGTTGTAGACCATTCATTAGCTTGGATGGTTGTTGGTTAAAGGGAAATTATGGAGGGAACTTGTTGAGTGCAGTGGCTATTGACCCAAATGATTGCATTTTTCGAATAGCATATGCAGTCATAACGTAGAGAAACTTGGAGCTGGTTTCTTATTAACCTGGGAGAGGATTTGGAGATTCAGAACAGCCATTACATTTCATTTATGTCAGACAGATACAAGGTAATATTATTTCTTTAGTATTTTACTCTGTTTCTTTATATTTTATTTATTGTTCTTTTTTTTCATGTTTCATAATATTTTTGAAGGGGCTGATTGGAGCTGTGAAGGATTTGAACCCTAATGCTGAACACCGTAATTGTGTTAGGCATATGTATCAGGATTTCAGACAAAAACACAAAGGTAAGAATTTGAAAGACTTAGTTTGGAATGCGGCAAGAGTGAGTAATGAAGTCTTGTTTAAGAAGTTTCTAGATGAACTGGAAAATGAGGACAAAGAGGCTAGAGAATGGTTCAATCACCCTGAGAGGCCATTCAATACTTGGACTCGAGCATTATTTAAATGTCATACCAAATGTGACATGTTGTTGAACAATTTATGTGAAGCTTCAACAGGTAATTAAGAATTTGCATTTCCTTATGCACTTTTATTTTTAATAATATACTAAGTTATACATATTTTTTTTAGATATATACTTGATGCTGGGACAACGCCATAATAACAATGCTAGAAATGATCAAGAACAAGTTGATGAGGAGGTTGTTCAAAAAAAAGAGTGGATTGAGGGATACCAAGGGCTAGGGGTGTACAAGCCAAACCATCAAGTCAAACCGAACCGACAAACCAAGTCAAATCGAAGAAAAAACCCGACTCATGGTTTGGTTTGGTTGGTTTGGTATTGGAAAATAAAAAACCGATCATTCTTGGTTTGGTTTGGTACTAACAAAAAATAAATCAAACCGAATCTAAACCAAACCGATATTATATATAAATAGATTTTAAAAATTTTATACATAAAAAATAATCATTAAAATCTAGTTTGTAAGTATTTTCTAAACTATATTATAGTTTTCAATGTCTTGAGATATTATTTATTTGTGGGTTTGTAAATTCACTATCCACTAAGTAGATTCTATCTACATAATCTAAATAAGAAGCCCAAATTAAAACCCAACAAGGCAAAAGACAACAAAACCCAAGTTCTCTGTGCTTATGCACTAGGTTGCATATCCAGTTAATCCTCGGTTCATTGGCAGCATTGGATTTTGATTTCTCCTTTCAATACATATTTGGTGTAGTTAGTTGTCATCTTGCTCACATAATTGGTGATTATTTTAGTGTTGAGGTTTATCAAATTTACAGTGTTTTGCTTTGTGTCACATATTTGTTGTCATTTTCGATTATGGAAGGTCTTGCAATTATGATTCATAGGAACAATTGGTATTCCTCATAGATTATTTAGAAAAATAGTAATTATGCGGATAATGGTGATCATTTGATCTTTTTTTCAAGCACAATATATATAACTAAAAAGAAAAACCGAAAATAAACCGAAAAACCGAGAACCGAAAAAACCGACTAAAAACGAAATCGAAAAAACCGAATTTATATTGGTTTGATTTGATTATGAATTTAATAAACCGACATAGTTGGTTTGATTTTGGTTTAATAAAAAACCAAATCAAACCACCTCATGTACACCTCTACCAAGGGCCAATATGCCCTAAGATTGAAAAAAAGCTGTTGAAAATTAGGATGGAGGCAACAAAGTTTCAACCTGATTTTTCAGGAGGCCCTAGGGTCTTAGTTGAAGGTCCTGGAGGGCCATATATTGTTGATATGTCTGCCAAGACTTGTACTTGTAGAAGGTGGGATTTGACTTGTCATCATAGTGTGGTTAGTATTCTTGAAAACAATGAGTTAATAGAAGTTTATGTCATGGACTATTACAAAGTGGAAAATTACAAGAAAGTATACTCTAGCTTTCCAAACCAACAACCACCTTCTCCAAATCCAAGTCAAGACCCTGCTCCAAACCAAAACCAAGAAGAAAAGATAGACGTGGACCTCATCTTAACAAATCAATCAACTATAGAGGTAAATTAGTTTCAAAGCTTTCATGGTCCTTTTTATGTGCTAGTTTTATTTTTTCTCATGGTGTTGTATTGTTTTATAGGATGTTGCTGGACAAGATGATGTTGGGAGAGTTTGTACATGGTCAAAAAAGTTTTCCATAAAAGTTTTTTTTAGTTCCCAGGAATATTTTAATTTAAGATATTTACGGTTAGGTACTTCTTTAGAATTAAATAATTGGTCATGGGATCTCTGAAGCACCTACCCATTATCATAAATAAGATACTTACCCAAGGAGAGAGGTCCCGGAATAACCGAATAACTGAAAAGAAAATAAAATGATAATTTTTTCGCATTCATGAAAGCACTGTTTTTCTCTCTCCTCATTTCATTAGTCTGTATTTGTACACTCCAGGCTTTCAGTTGTATTTATACCCTAATAGATGCTCGTGACTTGTGATATCCCGGTTAGGGCTGTGTCGGGTTGTGCTTCCGTTAATTATATCATTAAATCATATTTAAATTGTTTATTAATGTTTAACTATTTTTGAAAAGGCGATATAGGTTTGTTGGCTGGTCTTGTCTTCACGAGAGGCATCATCACGACCGGAGCGGGGTTTGGGTCGTGACAGAAACTAGAATTTTTGTTGAGAGGGCCGGGATTGGATGAATATTGAAAAGATCATTGATATCATATATATATATCATTAAGTCTTTAATAGTGATAACTAAAGCAGACACAAAATTTACTATGTTTCTGTTAACAAGACTCAGTTCACCGACGAAGAGGAGCAATGATCTAGACGACCACGTTACATATGTAATCAAGCTTCCCCATGCTTTCTAGAGAGGAATAAATCAGGTCCTTAATTGTAGTAATTAAGAGAACTTATTACTGCTTGGATGGCTTACTCCTGCAGGCTGCAGCTTGTTTACAATATATATATCTGCTTTTCATAATTCTGACTATTTTCTTCTGCTGTGTATTGATGCGTCCTGAAGCTAGGATTGTCCTAGCATATTACATGTTTGAGCAAAGCTTTTGAGAAACAAGAAATACTTTTTTAAATAGAGAATCTACTTATTTCTGCTGAATTAATTAAGGTATTTGGCCTAAAAGTTAATTAGGTGATTCTCAATAGTAGCAGAAAAATCTTATGTTTCTTGGAGAAAGCAAAAATGTGTAATTTCTTCGTGAAAATAAAAGCAAAAGCAAAAAATTATTTTTTTTTCAAGGATAGAAGTAACTTTGTATTTATCAAACTATCCACCCACAATTTTACTCTCAACTACTAAGGGCCCGTTTGGCCATAAAACTTGTTTCACCTTCTTTTTTTTTTTTACTTTTTTTCGGAATTAGTGTTTGGTCATGAAAATTTCAAATTTACTTGAAGCTCAATTTCGTGATTAGAAAAACTCCAAAAGGTTGTTTTTCAAAATTTTTACTTCAAATCACTCACAAAAATTCAAAAAAAGCTCCAAACGCAACTCTAAATTTTAAATACCATTTTCACTAAAGAAAAATATTTATTTATTTGTTTTGGAATTTCACAATTCTTATGTCCAAACGCCCACTTCGTCCTTCATCTTTTTTTCTTCCTTGAATTTCTAGTGACTAGTGCTTTACATCAAGAGATCCTGCATTAAGAGGGGTCATTTTAGAATAGTGGCCCATTGGGCTTTAATTACGACTACTCCGGTTCTTCCACTCGGATTAAATATCAAGTATCAACCTCTCGATTTGCATCCATCTGACAAAGGAGACGACGACATCGACAGTGATTTGAGAAAAGATCTTCCAATAAATTATGGTGTGCTGAATAGTACATTTTTAGCTTCTGCTATTAATATTATACCCATTGATGTGATGTTTGTTACAATAAACGTACCACCCCAATTGCCATCCTAATTTTTTTATTCCCACGTATATATTATTACGTCGAATTCATCATCTTGACGTCTAAGCTGCAATGCGATTACAAAGTGATGATTAGGTGTTTTTCCCTTTTTACTTTTGAGAAATTGTAACCCTTAAAATGTAATTTAATATTCATCACCCTTAAACGCTTTTTCCTCTATGTTTATGGTGACAAAATAAATAAAACGCAGATGAATAGAAGCCAATTAGTTATTTGATTGGAAATAGACGAATGATTGTTCACATGAGGTTTGAAGAGATTCTGAATGTTCTTTTATGACGTTGTTATGTCTTCCTTTTATGTTAGCATTAGTTCCATGAAATAACATTCGGCATAATAGAAGATGCAACTATATATCCTCTGCCAATATTATATTCTTGCACTTTTGCTTGTCTGGTTAATAATTGGTTATTTAACAAGAACATTTTTTATGCTTGTTGATTGTACCAGAATATGAGGTTGGGACTTGGCAACTGAAGCTTTTAAGAATTAATTTGTCCCTAAGCTTTTTGCCTTGCATATAGTTTACATAAGCACTTTACAATGTGGGAGCCAGTGGCGGAGTCACATTGGTGTCAACGCAGCTAAAATTAATTTTTTAACGTATATATACTATGTATTGAATTCTTGACTTTTTGTTGTTGTTGTTGGTATGGAAGATGCAAATGTGCTAACTCTGATTGTGTGTTGTGAGGAGTATCTTACAATTATTTTATCATAGTAATAAAAAAAAAATATATATCGCTGTCAATTCTACTTTTGAAAACAATTTGTATTTGAGTGACTTGTGCACCTCATTAGGCAAGCGTAACAAGAAAGATCTCAAGAAGGGACACTAGAAGCCGTCACCCTGGGCTGACGCAGCAGAAAAGACAAGAGATCAAAGAAGCGTTTGAGCTGTTTGACACTGATGGATCTGGTACTGACTTGTGTGTTTGACTGATATACGCGTGCAATCCCTCTAACTTAATGTTTCAACCCTGTTCACTGTTCAGGTACTATTGATGCTAAGGAGCTGAATGTTGCTATGAGGTTTGGTTACTTTGCTAAATTTATACTCTTTCTATTATCGCTAATTAAATAACTTGTATTGCAGGGCCCTTGGATTTGAAATGACAGAGGAGGTAATTTGTTGCATCCTTCTAATTTCTGTTTGTTGATAGTATTTGTTTACGTCCTCTTCATGTCGCTGGATTTATTTGTTGTAACTATCGGATCATGATACCTCTATGTTATGTGTATTTGATAGTAGCACATTTTCTTATATTATAGGTGCAATTTCTTGATGTTTTACTTATCCATTTTATGGCATCACTAATGTTGCATGTCAAAAACCTTTTGTTTCCAGCAAGTTGAACATATGATTGCTGATGTCGACAAGGATGGTAGTGGTGCAATCGATTTTGATGAATTTGTACACATGATGACTGCCAAGATAGGGGAAAGGGACACTAAAGAGGATCTCCACAAAGCATTTAACATACTAGACCAAGATAAAAATGTAAGTCCTTTTTACAATGTATGTACTCCAATTTTTCGATATGATGCTAACTCGACATGTTATGAGAGTGCAGGGAAAGATATCTGCTGCTGATATTCAGCAAATTGCCAAGGAATTGGGTGAAAATTTCACTGCAAGAGAGATACAAGAGATGATTGAGGAAGCAGATCGCGATCGTAAGTTCTTTTTTCCCCATTCCTCTTCTGAATTTGTCATTCTTGTTCTCCTTATGAATTTCATTACCCTCTTAAGCATGAGTAGGTCTCTTTAAAGTGGCACAATAAGTAAACAAAAATAAAGTATAAATGTAGGGGCAACGTACATACTGCCCTCCCTAGACCCCACATGTGGAAATATACTGGTTATGTTATTGTAGTCGAGTTAATCCATTTCTCAAGTATACTGATCTGGACTTCTGTGTCTTTCTTATGTAGGTGATGGAGAAGTAAGCACGGAAGAGTTTATGAGAATGATGAGGAAAACCAGCTATGGAAACTAGAACAAAATCATACTACTGGTAAGTGTGAAGTTTTAAACGAGACCTGCTTTTCGACTTTGAAGTTGCTTGTCCCTTTTCTCCCTTGTCCTCTTTCTCAGTGCTCTGTCATTTATTGTGTATACTTTTATCTAAATACTTTAGTTTTTGCCAAATGAATAAATGAAAGAAAACAAATGTACTATAATAGCATTAAAGATACAGGGTCACAGAATCTTTCTCTTGTCTACGTTAGCACTAATCTAGTTAACAGATTTCAACTCTGGGAGAATTTGAAAATTTTTAATAGTACTACTTTTCCACGACCTTGGCTTCTGTGAGGTGACTCTAGTCAAGTGGTCAGCGCCTCCGAATTCTGATTGGCTCCATCTATTTCAAGATTCCTCTGTCCTCACCTTCCAATCTTTGCTCGGGCAACTCGCCCTCCTTCCGCTACTAAACTATGTGGACTAGTCACCCTAGCTTTGCCCCACTAATAAACACTATTTGGCATCACTCCAACACTTATCTGCGCACACTTACCATGTTCTTAAAGGTTGGAATATCTTTCGCCAAAAAAAAGTTACTTCAAGCTCGTATTACTGGTTTTCAAAAAACGGACCCACACAAAAAAATTGACTTTCACCTTGCCCTGAAAAATAACCTTGTTCAGGAATTTAATCTCCTTTTGAAGAATGAAGAAGACTTTTGGAAACTCAAATCTCGAGTCGAGAACCTTCATGCCGGCGATGCGAATACTAAGTTTTTCCATCTTTCAACAGTTCATCGGCGACGAAAAAATCATATTCTTTGTCTTAATGACACAGTAGGAAACTGGACATTTGATCAATCCATTATCCAGCACATCATTGCTACTCATTTCAATACAATTTACACCACTGATCTCATGTTAAGTCTCAAACAACAAACTATCCACGCCCCAAATGCTCTTAAATCTGGTATCTCTCATCACCTACACAGACCTCTCACTCATGCTGAGATTCATCAAGCTGTTTACTCCTTCCAACCTCTAAAGGCACCTGGCCCCGATGGTTTTTACCCAATTTTTTTCCAGCAATTTTGGAACGATACACAAACGGCTATTCAACAATTATGTACTGATGCATTCGACACTTCCCTAATTTCTCCTCTAATAAACCAAACCTATATTACATTAATTCCTAAGGTTAAAAGTCCTGAACAAATCACTCAATATCGTCCTATCGCTCTTTGTAACACTAGTTATAAGATCATCACTAAAATTATTGTCTCGCGCATTCGCCCATACCTTGATACCATTATTAGTCCCTATCAGAGTAGCTTTATCCCAGGTCGACACACTGTCGGCAATGCTATTATTGTTCAAGAAGCGATTC